AGTTTATAAACTATCACAAAAGTACATTTCACCTCACTTTCTCAATCCCAAACAAAAGTACAACAGAGCATAGAGGAAAGTATTTCTATATCGTCCCATTCTCCTCCAATATGTGAAGTCCAGGTGAAAACACACAGTCCATCATCCAAAATTTTGCTTGCCCTCTGGATTTTTTGTTTGTAATTAAAAAAATTATACTCCTGCCATCATAACAAGTAAGTAAAATGGGGTACCCCGCTGGTGAATTTTCAGAGTAGCTACATGGCTGAGCAGCAGTTATTTAAAAGATAAATTAAAGAAGGAATGATCATGTTTTACTTTATTTAAACTATCTGCAAACTCAACTTTATGATTCAGTGTTTCTGATCTTAAAATATACAGAAACAAAAGCAGAGTAGTGCAAGAAAGGGGTAACCTAAGGTTAATTCAGCCCTGAAATGCGGAACAGATTCAGTGCTCAAGAAAACACTGAACATTCTGCGGCTTTAAGTGAAATGCTTCAGAAGAGGAAATATATGTGTAAATAATCAAGAGTATTAATAATTGTCTCAGAATGCTGGCACTGAAACTTAAACAGTCTCTCTCCTAGTTACCTCTTAGTTATTTACTATTAGGATTTTTTATGAACATCTATTGAAGTAGTTCCAAGTATGATGAAGGCATAGATGAAATTCTTTAAAGCACAGTAATTTGTTTAAAAAAACAGATTAATGAGAAATAAAGGAGATGATTTTTAATCAACAGAGGGGCAATTACGGACGACAAATATAAAAACACAGTGACTTAAAAATAGTTCTTGCTGCCATACATTAGAAGGGCACTAAAAATCCAGGACCAGAGTTCAAGATTCATAAAGGGGTGGGCTTAAATGTTCAGTGTAAAACTCAGCCTTTTCAGGAAGAAAAAACAAAGATACAGCAGCTACCCAGCTGTTGTCAAAAGACAACTATTTTCAGTTTGAGAGATACGCAATTGTGTGAATGGCCATAATATTTTTTTCTTAGTGGAAGAGAAAAGGAAATATTTACTTGACTTGATCTTCAGAAAGTCTTAGAAAATGAGAATCAGAGTACAGCACAAGACAAACGTAACCATGGCTAAAGCTCGAACCCTTGTCCACTAATCCAGTGGAAGGTTCCAGTCACTTCAGGGTAATGTTTAGGACATTCCCCACTGGTGTTTTTTTGGCTTGTATTGCAAAATGAAATAAACAGAAAGTGATTCAGATACTTCCCTAACAGTGAAAGGGACCGATTTCCCTTTTTCCTTTATCTTTAAATAGACTGACAAATACAATAAATCCTTCCACCGGCAGGCATCCAGTTATTTTCCCAGTAGTAACAGGGACTACTGATACACATCACAAAATCAGATAATTCATCTTATCTCATTGAATGTAAAGAAGACAAAACAATAGATTTTACCAACACTGTTTTAACTATATACAGTTTTTAATCTTGGGAAGAGTTTTCTGTGTGTATACCAGCTACATGAGATGAAATTCAGTTAAACATCGTTCTAAACTGTAAATCCTTTAATGTGATGGACAATTAAGGAAATTATGGCATTCTTGAGGGTCATTTTTAAAAATGGTTTCTGTTGCTTACCACTTCACCAAGCTTACGACTTTTTGAATGAAAGGGGTGACGGTTTCAGTTGTGAACTTCATAAATATTTGGAAAAGCCTTTCACTTTCTCTTCCGTGATAACAAACAATTTGCTACGCCAGCTCTCGAATTTTCAATCCGTTGAGCCCTCTCGTTTTCAAGTGTCTCCTGCCTGTCTCAGTATATTTCTAGTGACCCCCAGTTTATGTGTGCCCTAACGGAAGTTCCATCAGTCGCATTGCCTTCGCCGAGTGGCTTTTGTCAGAGCGGGACTTTGACAGGCTTTGCTGCTTTAGAAAGCAGAGATAATGTCAAGTTTTCTTGCATGTTCTATGACTGCAAATCATCGCTCTGTAATGACCGGATCTACATGTTTTTATGTTCACCTTTAAGTAAGAATTATAGTGATTTTAAAATCAGATGGCTCCTTTCTTCCCTCCACCCCCTCCACCAGCAAACTGAAATTAAATGAAATAAAGCAGTTTTCCTAAGCTCCCATTCACTCGTTTGCTTTACAGACTCCAAATTTTGCCCCTTACAAGCTGAGGATTTGATTCAGGATCACACAAATCCTACAGCGTAGCAAGGCTTCAGCTCCTCTCCCAAATCCCTGCTTCCAAGGCAGCGCTTCCAAGCGTTGTGCAATCGCCTCGGAGCCGCAGTTAGCTCCGTGGCGAAGGGGCGGAGGGGAATGAGCGCGCTGGATTCTGAATTTTGAAGCAGAGGTGTCGTATCGGTCGGGGGGAGGGGGCAACAGGACCAGATGCTTTGAATCCGCACGAAAACTACAAACGTTTCTCTCCTTGGCTGTAGGGAACTCTCCCCCCACCACCACCTTGATTTCATACTCTATCACGTGCTGGATTTTTTCTTTTTATTTCCCCCCCTCGTAGCCCCAGTAAAGCTTGCGGTAGTGATGGAGATTCCGAGAGTGCGCTGGAGGAAAGGAGAGACCTGGCAACCTGGTGTCAGCCGGCGGCGAGACCACGGCGGCGGCCGTGGCTGGGCCGGACGGCCAAGCCAAGCTGGCCCGAGCCGGGCCGAGCCGAGCCAAGCCAAGCCGGGCCGGGCCGAGTCAAGCCGAGCCGAGCCGGACCAGCCGAGCCGAGCGGCGGCGGGTACGAGGGGCCCGTCCGCGTCCTACCCCCGGCACCCGCCGCCCGGGGATCCCGCCCCGCTGGGAAACGCGCGAGTCTTTACCTGAGCTGTCGCTTTTCCTTTTGCCGGACCTCTTCTCTGTTTCCACCGGGGACAGAGCCTGCCTGCCATAGTCCCCTGGCGCACACGCTGCCCCCGTGGGGGTGTTGGTGCCCAGGCTGGAAGAGTTCGAACACAGGACGGGGGGGCTGCTGCCCAGCTCCGGGGGTCCTCCTGAGTCCGGCTGAAGGCAGAGGCTGTGCCTGGCCGCGGCGGGAGGAGACGACATCTGAGGAATGTGCCAATTCGTCTGCAAAGCCTGGTGCTGCTGTTGCTGGTGGTGATGGTGGTGGTGATGGTGATGGTGGTGGTGCCCCCTATGATGCTGGCTGGCAAACATGCCCTCCTCATTGGGGTATCCCGCTATTATGCAAGAGGAAGAAGAAGAAGACAGATCAGGGTAGGACATGTGGTCAGATCTTCCATGCAGGGCAAGAGAAGACTGGGAGAAAGGGTGCAAGCTCTGCGCAGTGGCATGGGGGCTGCGCAGGCAGCCAAAAAGTGTGTGATCCATGGCATGCAAGTCTCAGGTTCCAGGCAGGAGAGTTTAGGAAAGATCCAACTTCACCACCCTTTGTCAACTTTCACTGTAAAGAGATCGGGGCTGGGATTTTTTTTCCAAAACGGCACCGACAGACTCTGCAACAGGCAGCTGAGCTCAGATAATCCAGGTCTTTAGCCCTAGTGGCCAGTCTCCGCTGCATAAACACTCGGACCTAGATGAGCCGTTCTCAGAGCTGCTCAGATGTCAAGAAGTGGGAGAGGTTGAAGCCAATAGAAGGTGGTCCCAGAGAACTGCTTGAAGGGGGAAACAGCTTCGAGAGGTTATAAATACAGTAGTGTGTAATGTGAGCTGGGGGCTGGCTCAGCAGCACAGCACTGACCACATGCAAACTCCCTCCAAAACGCCAGCGCCGTCCCCGCGCCGAGTCGCTCCGTCAGCGGGCGGCAGCGCTGCGCGCCCGCGCCCCGGGCGCCCGCGGCCGTGCGGGGGGGCGGCTCCGCGGGGGCGCAGCCTGCCCGCCTCTCCCTGCCCCCGGGCGGGCCGGGGAGCGCCTTCCGCCGCGGTGCCCGCCGGGGCTGTCCCGGAGCCGGTGGGGCCGCCCGCCCACCCCGCCCCGGGCGGGGGGCGACCGTGCCCCCCAGTCATGCGGCCCCTACAGGGTCATCACCGCCCCGTCGGGTCTGACCGGACCGCTCGGGGCGCTGCCGCCCCTCGGAGGCAGCGGGCGGTGGAGCGCAATAAAGACGTGAGGCGAAACACGGGGGTGACTCCGGGGCGGGCGTCCGGGGACCACGACGACCCTGTTTCCCCGGAGGCTGGAGGGCGGTCGGCAGCGCCTCACCTGAGCGCCCAGGTGCGAGAGCAGTGTGAGACGCTGAGCAGACCAAGGCCGGGGCCGAACGCCACGGTCCCTGGCCCCAGGGTCCCGGTGCGGGTCCGGGGCATCCCCTCCCGCTTCGCCCGTGCCCACGGCCCCGCGCCCAGGTTGAGCGCGGCGCTGCCGCGGCTGCCCGCACGCACTTCACACTATTCCCCACCATCGGGGGCTGGTTCTGCAACGAACCCACCGGCGCCCACTGTGCCTGCAAATCTGGCTGCAGAAAGAGAAGTTTCCCTTTTTGTCCCCTGCCCTTTTAAAACTAGAAGTCACGTAATTTTTATTTCCCGTATCTTCATTTGCTTCGTTGCAGTCTGTAGTAGATCAAGAGAGACAACCTGGACAGCCTGGGCCTGTCTTTTTTTTGTCTTTGTTGTCCTTTTTTTTTTTTTTTCGTGTGTGTAGCAGAATGAACTGTATCCATGAACGCCGATCATAACCGGTTTAAATCAGGATAAAACATTGATTAATCACTGACCAAAGAGGTGCCCACTGTGGAAAGGTTTTATTCTCATCCCTCGATGTACCTTCCTCCTCCTCCCCTCAAATCAACATTAAAAAAAATTAAGAGGAAGAAAAGGAAAACCATTGCGTTTCTGCAATTTCAGGTCAAATTCTTGGGTCCATGTGTGAAAGATAAAATGAATTTCAATTGCTAGTGGAAAAAAAATCAGCAATTGTATGAGATTTGCAAGAGCTAGTTTCTTAAACGGAAATTGAGTCCTATTTTGTGGGAAATTAGTTTTGCAGACTTTCTAAAAAAAAAAAATCTAAAACTTTTGTTCAGCAGCTGCTCTGGTTTTCTCTGCAGTTTCAGACTGAGCTGGAACCTGCAGCAATCTTTCGACGGTAAGATTTCCCCCCTTTTCTGACATCTAACGCTTTTTAAAACCTGTATTTAGATTTAACTGTAACAACGCGGTCTTTACAAAGAGAGCAGAGTCCAAAGCAGAAGTTGCTGCCTCTGTGCACTGTTCAAAACTTGATATTTCTTCAGAATAAAGGAAATATACAGTTACAACACTGATGAAATATTTCGTGCTTTTCATTGTGTTTATCGTTTCAATATGTGCTCTAATATTAGAAGAGGGGAGTACAAAGAAATCTCAATGGTTTAACCCCTCTCGGGTTTGGGAACTCGCCGGGCTGCCAGCACAGGGTGCTGCTGCCCCTCACAAACCAGGCGCTGCCATGAAGCAGTAACTGCGAGACAGCGACCGACGCGGTGCGTCGCGCTCGCAGCGGCCCTGCCGGCGGCCCGAGGGCTGCGGGGGCGGGCGGGCGGCGAGGTCGGGCCGGGCGGCCCCAGGTGGGAGCTCGGGGAGCGGCGGTGCGGCCCCCCCGCACCGCACCGCACCACACCGCTGCCCTTCGCGGCTCTCCAACCTGCTGCTGTCCATCCGCCCGCCCCGGCCACTGGGGCGAGACCCCGTCGGGGGGGCCGGGGACGGAGGGGCAGGAATACCAGGACCCCTCCTTCAAGGGCCGCTGCCGCTGAAGCACTGACACTGCCACAGTTGCGAAGGGGTCGGGGAAGTCCCGAACCCCAGCCAGTGTAAAAATGCTTTTTCTTAATTCTAGGGCATGGCCATGCAGGATTTCTCGCATATGATAAAAAAATTGAAATAAGTGAATCACAGTGAAGAAAGTGAGAGGGTGCAAGGGGGAGGAAGAAAGATTAGGTTTCCAAGAGAAGTAAGAAACGGAGCCAAATAGAACTTTTTCGAGAGAGGTAGGAGAGGCTCCAAAAGGTGAAGAAGAAGAAAAAGAAGACTGCAATAGTAAAACTATAATGGCACAACTTAGTGTTTGCCATTAGATTAATAATCAAATGTGAATATTCGGGACTGTGCTTCCCAGGATTTCTGAGTCCCCTAATAAGTTCACAAATCCTACATCAAGTGTTCTTATTACTTCTTTAATAATAGGTTTTAAGCACGCAAGAACTGGAAATGCAATTCTGTACAGAGCTTTATGCTTTCATTTTAAACTATAAAAGGAGAATGCAAATATAGGGAACTGATGTTAAGGCAAATAAGCAGCTTCAAATGTTTACTGAAATGATTCAAAAAGTGTCTGTGCGGAGTTATCAAATACCTACGGTTATATCATACCATCCTTTGTAAAAAAAAATACAACTTTTTAGTTAAAGGTTTAGTGCAAAGCTTCTCAGTGAAACAATTACTGAAGGAAGTGTAAGCAGTTACTACCTCTCGATATTAATGATTGAATTCTTGTTTGTATTGTATTTTTTCAGAATGTGTGTTTGACCTACATGTGGTACAAAAGCATAACTTAAATCAATGCCAGCAAGTTTGCCCAAAGCTTATAAACATCAAGTGAAAAAATAGAATGTTTTAAATATGTGAAAACAGTAAACTGTTTAACTCATAAAAACATCTGGAGCCAACACAGTTTGGAACATCATTTATATTTTCATGTATGGGCTACTATTTGCATTCACTTTGTGTATTTTACTTTTGGTGGTGGGTTGTTTTGGAGGTTTTTAACTTACAATTTATGGGGAAAGAGATTATACAAAATTGATGTGAAAGAACCAATATACAATTCTTCCTCTTCAGGACTTTTGTAGTCTTGTTCACTTTTTATGTTGGAGACTGAAAGGACTACCTTCCTGAATATTTATCAGAATGTAAGTAGGATTCTTGATCAGTTCTTTCTAGTGTGTGGTTTGCGTGTTTGCAGTATGCATATTACAGTAAAATCAGATAGTCATACTTGGGGACCACCATTTGAGTGGTACAAATTGTGGTAACTTACCTGAAGTCAGTAAAAGGATGACATTTTACACCATTTAAGAATATTCTCCTTATTTAAGAGAAAGCTTACAAATATGAATTAAGTGTATTTTAGCCAAAGTTTTTATTGTACTCAAGAGCCTACCAAAGCAAGAGGATGAGGTTTTATTCTACTGTAATTATGATCAGTTCATATTTTTCCATGGCAATTTGGTGAAGGCAGGCGTCATTTAACCTTAGAGTCAATGTAGATTCACAACAGATGCATGTTTATTTTCAGCCTTTTCTTTTTTTCCATTATTTTTGCCTGTTTAAGTCCCTTAGAAGCAATATAATTCGTTTCTCATGATACCTGTGCTGCAGTGGAAACCCATAGATATAGGCAATAAAAAAGCCCAGGGATTATGTGTCATTACAGAGATACTTGAATGCCTTAACTGAAAATCACTGCAAAGAAAATTAATAATATGTTGACTGAGTAGTCAAAATTATTGAATCCCTGACTAGTTAAAATTGACGATAATCACATTTACCATTCATAAACCTATGGTATACCAGTATCTTTATTTGCATTATTATATTTCTTCATAAAAACCACCATTTTCTGAGAAATTACACTCCCATAGTGCTTACCACATAATTTTAACATTGCATTTCTGTGGTGTACTTCCATTTCACTCTTACATGTGCCATGGTTTAACACTTATCAGACACAATTTTTTCCACAACAGATCTATAAAAGCTTTAAGCCTGAATCCATATTTCAGCTACTTCTCCCATATACATATGGCTTTTCTTCTAATTTATATGATCTTCAAGTATCACAAATTTAAAAGTTATGCCAGCAATTTAGTATATTATAGAAAATTGTGCCTAGCTATGAGGTCCTCGCTAAAAATGATGTACAAGTCTGCACTGCATCATTAAAAGTTATTTGAATTGCCAACCCCCTGTAACCAGTAAAATGTCTTATGCCTCCTATTTAATTTAATAAACTGATGAAATATCAAAATTGTGAAAGTACGTGAGGCTTCACACCTGAACTATGACATTTCAGGAATGTTTCTAGAATTTGAGCTGGGGGAGACTTGCGTTAGATACTCAAAAGTCCCAGTACAAATGATATTCAAAACTTTGGGGTGTGTTTGTTTTTAATAGATAATTTATTTGCAAACTTGTACAATCTTGAACCAGCTTGCACAATACTATTTGTTTCCCAATCTGCATGTTATATTACAATTTAACAATTGTTTTATTCTTTCTAGTATTATCTCCACTTAAGAGCACTTGAACTAGAAAACAGTTATGACAAGTTTTGTGGGGCACTTTAATAATATGTATCTTTAATTTGTATTTAGAAATGCATTCAAAGTGAACATGCAGGCAAGTCAGTGGTGCCTGAAAAGTATGTTTTCCATTTTGTTGTCTCCAGATCTTGACAATTACACACTACCACCACCCTAAATCCATTCTCCTAATAAAATTAGTAATCACAGAGGAAAAAAAGGCTTGTATTTTTACATATTTATCATTTTTTATTTGATACAATTTGCACTGAGGATTTTGATCTGTATATGCATTGAAAAGACATTTTACCAGAGTCACCATCAAAAATGCAGACACCGTTGTGCATGGAAGAAAGGCGGAGTGTTCTCATCACTTCATATTTCTAGCAATGTTTGCTTCTTACTGTGCTGCAAAGTTAATATTTTAGTGATTATACTTCAAGTCTGAGTCACCAAGAATAAAAAATACAGATGATTGAAATCTTTGTGCATCAAAAGATTTGCACTATGACTTACACCCATTTACTGCGTAAATACACAGTATGCTTACATTATGGAGACTGCAATGGAGGAAAAACCTACCACCACCTGAAATATTTATTGTCCCCTGGCTGACATTTCCAAGTCCTTGCAGAATCAGCAGCAGGGGGCATATTTCATAATTCTGCCTTCATCAGGGGACATTAGGAGAGTGACAAGTCACTAATTTTCATCATCTCTTTTACAGGTTAATGAGTAAAATACTACCCTTACAGTGTGTATTCATAGTAATTCCTAATTTCCTCTGCTCTGGAGGGAGAAAAAGACACGTATGCATATATCTCTGCACCAAGAATAAATAATTACAAAATATCTAGGTTTTTATAGCTGTTGGGATTATGTTATTTACTTTGCAGGTGTGTATGCTATGATTTATAGTGTGATGAGCTTTAGACTTGGAGCAGAAACCCCTAACTAGCTAGTATTCAGAACAGAAAGATATTCACTGCCCTGCAGAGCTCAGGCTCTGTTCATTTCACCAGTTTCACATGGGAGTAATCCTGTGTTTTTATTTACAGAGTCCTTTTTGCATTCATGGCGATTTTCTTGACTAGAAACATTTTCAGGATTGCAATCTTAATTAATAATAGCTGTAGGAAAAAAAGACCTAAAAATTGGATGTACTTCTTAATGCATAACTGCATCACGCACCCCAAAACCTAATATCAGATAATGCAAACAACAGGTAGAAGAAATTAAATGCAAAGTAACAATTGTTTGAAATCATAATTTTACACTAAACTGAGGGGGGTTTTAGATGCAGATATTTTGGCTTGTGAAAGAATGAAAAAAAAAAAAAAAGAAAAAAAGAAAAAAAAGAAGCTAGATTTCCCTAAAAAATACATGCCAAGAAGTGCTTAATTTGCAGATAAAGTTTCAAAGGTTCTGATTAAGGAAACTATTTTAAGTTTGCAGGCATCAATGACACAGAAAAAAAATAATAAGTAAGTTCTTAACTGTCATGAAGAAACATTTGAGTGACATACTTTGAGACTGACAACTTCCAAACCCATGTTTGCATAAACTCATTTTATATTTTATTTCACCAAAACAGAATGCACTTTACTGGTGAGCTGGGAATATATTGTACTACTTCTTGAAAGAAACCTTTTCAATATAGTTTTATATGTCATGCTTTATTAAGCATCACACTTGCATGTCCTTTGATAAAATGTGATAGTCCTCAGGTTGAGCTCAATAAACTATTCCAGCAAGGGACTATCTTTGAGGCACTTTCACATCATCTAAGTTAGTATATGGATTTTGGTGCACCGAATCACTGTAGACAACATCCTCTCTTGTTTAATGCATTTCCCATATATTTCATTTAAATTAGATGCCCACAATAAAAGTGTGAAGCCCATTTATTCCTATCCCTACTCTTTCAAATGAAAAGTGCCCAGCACTGTGGGCTTGGTGAAGCTCAGCTGTAAGAAGAGGTGTATTATTTGGAATACTTTTCAGCTGACTGAGACACAACTGCAAAGTGCAGCAATGTGGGGACACTGTCTGGATTTGTGTTATTCCCTCATAGGTAATCTGTCCATGAACTTTATGCATTTGTGCATTTGAGCTGTAGAATGTATCACTCAGGGATTTAGATTTTACTTCATAATCCAAGTATATTTTAATACAAGATGGTAAACTAAAAATATTTTCCATTTAACTGTTTCAAAAACGCCATGTGTAAGAGAACACAACAAAATGGAATTAACTCGTAACATATGCAACTCTTATTTGTGCAAGAGCAGTATATGCCCCTAAATCCAGACTGCAGCATCTGGAGGCATAGCATGTCTCTAATGGAAGAGAAAGGCACGAGACATGTCAGCTCCTTGGCTATGTTATGCTGAAAGCCGTGTTTTTTCCTTCAGGGTACCCAAAACAACTCTGATTAAAACTAATAAAACAGACACTGTCCAGGTATTCATAGCATTTTGCATTTTTCAGCTCACTAGTTGTAGGCAATGGGTTTAAGCTGAGATAGATTTTTACTACATAAAAGAAAAAACCTCTCAAATACTGCTCTTTTGTTTGAAACAATGAAATTCGAATCAAAACTAACATCTCACGGTATGAATTGTGTTCGTAGTGCATCTAAACTTACACATTTCCACTTTTGGAACCTCTTTTTGCTGTTACCAAGATAACTTGTAGCACCACTTTTTCTTCCTAGTAGTATTACAAATAATGTATTTTTCATATACTTTTACTACTGTGATCAGCTTGCTAGAGAAAAACATTTTAGAGAAACAACCCACACTTTAACTGCTTTACAACAAGAACTGTCTTCATACTTGACCTTGAGAAGTGCTGAGTCTTTTTTTTTCCCCAATGACCTTACAGGATCAACTTCATTGTTAGACTGTAATAGCAATTCAAAAAAGTGCAGCTAAACGTAAATACTGTTCCCTGTGATTACCGAAAAAAAAAAAACAACACCAAAAAAAACAAACAAAAAAAAAAAACCCCACAACAACAAACAAACAAAAAAACCCAACAAAAAAAAAGTAACAACAAAAAAAAAAACCCAAACCAAACACCCAAAAAACAACTAAACCAACACCAACAAACTGAAAATTGCATTTTGAACAAACCTGGTGGATAAGATATTTTACTAATGCATTTTTAATTTTTTATTGCACTGAATGGTCTGCTATAGAAGTTGAGATGTCTGATTTTAAATTCTATTTCATTCTTTCTTTTATCAGCTAATCTCCTCTGTTATATTCATAGGAAGCAAGGGACAAAGTATGCCTGTCTACTGTATTTATTCTTATTTGCAGAAAATACAAGTGGAAACTGAGAAACTGCATTGTTACTAAAATACTGAACTTGAAAATCCCATTGTGAACAGCATACTGGATGTATAAATACACATATGTGTACGCTAAAAGAGGGTGTTCAGCCGTGCAGAAATACCAGCTTACCTCCAGGCTCAAACTCTTAATGTACAATTAAAACAAAATGGGTTAGTGCGCTTTCTTTTACTAACAGGGAGAGTTCTTAGACGCATTATACTAAAATAGAAGTCTCACATTAAATCAATTGAAGGACCAGAAAAAGCT